CTCTCTCTCTCTCTCTCTCTCTCTCTCTCTCTCTCTCTCTCTCTCTCTCTCTCTCTCTCTCTCTCTCTCTCTCTCTCTCTCTCTCTCTCTCTCTCTCTCTCTCTCTCTCTCTCTCTCTCTCTCTCTCTCTCTCTCTCTCTCTCTCTCTCTCTCTCTCTCTCTCTCTCTCTCTCTCTCTCTCTCTCTCTCTCTCTCTCTCTCTCTCTCTCTCTCTCTCTCTCTCTCTCTCTCTCTCTCTCTCTCTCTCTCTCTCTCTCTCTCTCTCTCTCTCTCTCTCTCTCTCTCTCTNTTGCTTTTTCGCGTCTAAAAACGAATTTACCTCCTCGACAACGTCATTCCAATCTACATACCATATCATTTTCCAAGTTGATGCGACTGCTTGGACTGGGCCCAAGCTCTCCACCAATATTCCAGGGTTTCTTTCAATTTCCTCTATCTCTCCAGGTTGCTGTGTCACCGGCATGGTTCCAGCCCTGAAACACAAGATTTGTATTTTTTTTTGTTCATACCGTTTTGATTGCTGATCTCGTAAGTCGTTCGAAGGCCACGCTTACGAGAGAAGTATACTATTTTGGTCTTGTTGTTTCTGATATCTCGTTCTTTTTTTTATCTGCTTCTTACTCTTATGCGATTTGTTTTTGTTATCCTGCTTTGTTCCCTGAGTTCCCTATTATCTAACAATTGGGTTTTTATAACGCATGCTTTCTTGATTTTGTCCACGTGTGTAATTCTTGTTTCATTGCCACGTTTCAGTTTTATATTGTGGTTTTTGTAATTTATTCCTACGATTTCGTATGGTCCTTTGTAGTGATCCTCATATTTCTTTCTCGGCTCTTTAAAAGCATAGACCATTTCCCCTTCCATGAAAAATCTTGTGTTCAATTTTTTGTCGTAATAATATTTGGATCTGTACTTCGCCTGAACTTGATTCATGGCTGCTATTGTCCTTAGCCGCGTCATTGTTTTTATTACGTCTTCTACGTATTCATCATACGTTTGTTCATTCATTGTTTTCTTGAAGCTAGATGGAATTCTGGCTGGGTAGCCCAGCAATACTTCTTAAGGCGCTATCCCCGTTGCTGAGTGTTTTGTCGAATTGTAAGCGCACATGCACATGCCCAAATGATCGTCCCAAAAGTCATCTTCATTTACGTAGCCCTTTAAATATTCCGTTAATGAATGATGCATTCGTTCTATTGCGCCGTTACTCTGTGGATAGAAGGCTGTTGTTCCCATTTTGTCTATTTTAAATACTCTTGCGAACTCTTCCAACAGTTTGTTTTGGAAATGTGCAGCTCTGTCTGACAGCTCTTTTTCTAGGGCACCAAAGTATGCAATTACTCTGTTAAAAAGTGCTTCTGCTGTTTCTAACGCCGTCGCTCTTTTTACTGGTACAAGAATTATATATTTCGTGAGCCAGTCCTGAATTGACAATATGTGACTATTGCCATGAGCCGATGGTTCGTTTATCGGGCCATAAAAATCGATTGATATTTTTTCAAATGGCCTAGCTGGTGTATCTGTTACAACTAGAGCCTGTTTTGTTCTTACTCTAACAAGTTTCTTAGATTGGCATGATTCACAACCTAACACGAACTGACGTATGTCCGGTCGCATATTTTGCCAGTAATAGTCTTTCGCAATTTTGTTGTAAGTCTGGTTCATACCTCTGTGGCCTCCTACCGATGACTCGTGGTATTCTTTGAGTACATCAAATCGTTGCTCCACTGGTGGTACTACTAAATTGTTCAAGTACAACACTGCCGATATTTTTGTGTTTTCGAAGGTGTTTTCAAACTGCTCTGCGAAATAGTCCCACTGTGATACGCTTAGTATTGCTAGATCTCGTATAATACCTACTGACGTCAACTTGTTAAACAACATGAGCTGTTTTAAAGACGATATGCATTTCTTAATATCCGATTTTAATCCCGCACTGGCAAAGTGCTCTTTCACGTATAACTGCATTACTGGTACTTTTCTTGCTCTAGATAGGAAGACCTCTCCAACCCTCCTATTTTCTTTATTCATGGCTGTTGGATTTATATAACCTCTCTCGTGAAGCGCGTCTATGGCTTATGTGTCCGGTATGTTTTCTGTTATTGTACAGAAGGCAAAGTTGTCAATGTATCTAAATGGGTGTTCGTTTATTTCCTTAAGCCTTTGGAATGGTGGTATATCTTTATCTTCCTCTGGCTTCCAGGGTGGTTTTTGTACTGGTAGTCGTGTCCGGCAAGCTCTGTACCTATATAAACCTGGTATACTTATATTGATTTTGCCATCATCTGTGCTTTCGGCATTATCATCTGCCACAATGTTCGCATTAAGTAACTCCTTTCCATTTTCATTATCGCTAACTTCTTTTTCGTGACTTTCATTGTTTACGTCGTCATCTGATATTTTTGGTGTTTCTTGTTCCGCTATTGGGCTAGACTCATCCGGTGGTTCCGGTGGAGGTGGTGGCGGATCGCGCTTCTTTGGTATTCGTTTTTCTTTTGATCCAAAATCTGACTCATCACTCGTCTCGTGATCTGTTTTGTTGTCTTCCTTTGTTTTCTTATTAACTCTACCCTTGATTTTCTGTCTCGTATATGGGAACTTGTTTTCATTCCTTTTCCTCAATGTTGCTCGTCTCGCCTTTCGTACTATCTTACTGTCTTCATCACTTGAATTTTTGTATAATTCATCCATCAATTTATAGCGTTTTTGTCCTTTTTCGCAAAGCGCCTGATAGTGCTCCGCTCATACCTCATGTGCTCATATTCATCTCCTTTTATTCCTGTGTAGTGATGACACACTGGAGGTCCATCTCCATTTACGTAGTGCACACATATGCTCTTTTTGAACTCCTGAGAAAAGACAAAAATGCACTCTCCATCCCCAAACTCGTAATCCTTCCTCAAAATTCTCTTAGAGTTTTCCGGGTCGACGCAGTTTTTAATATGTTCAGAATGCAGTAAGATTTTTCTTAGCTGCTTTGCTGTTAAGTCCAGATCGAACAGTACAATAAGACTATAAAACAAGCAATTACCATCGCCCTTTACATCTACTAAATCCCACTCTTTCCATGACTCTGTAGAATTTCCGTCTGATCCACGTTTTTGCTCATTAAGTGCATCGTTTGAAATCAATTGGTTCTTTTTGCTTGATTCTTCATCATTCAAATTATCGAACGCCCCAGACCTCTCACCATGATTTAAGGATAGCCTNGTAATGATTAAATTTCATCCAATATTATTACTTTTTATATATATATATACTGGGTCACGATAACAGCCTACTGGCCTAGTCACTAGGGCCACCTACTCACCACCTGTGTGGGGGTTAACTGCTGCACTAATTTACCAATCACTTAACTAATGTCATACCCATGATACCATAGACACAGTAGGAATATTTTCGGTGAAACACCTTGCTAGTTAAGTTGACCCTATCGGCAGCACTAGTGCGTTGGGTTCACTCGCAATTGTGTAGCCTTTTCCCAGAAAAGACTCAATTTTTCGGGACGTCCACTCCTCGCTGGTTAAGCCAGCGCTGTCTGCCAAAGCATCAGATGCTAACTAGTTAACATCTCCGAAGGAGCCCCATGTTTCACGGACCACTCTTACCTGGCATCAGTTCTGCTAATCACTAACCATAGCCCTAATACTGTTTCACATTCTGCCAAGCCCAGAGACCCGTGGGGCAAAGAAAAAAATTCCACGGAAAAACGTGCCCCGAGACTGCCTGGGCTTTTTATAGGAAACTTTTCCGATGAAAATAGTTTTTAAAAAAATCTGCATTTACTGGGAATTGAAACTACTACGACCCCTAGTACGGTGTTGTGTCAGTACCAAACACACTCACCACTGAGCCAACACCAATCTTTTTATCCAATATTATTATATTCAGTTTGTTATCCATTTTTATACATAAAGGTTATGATAACATGTACATACAACACATAACGAATTAATTGTATATTGTGCAAAAATCGCAACAAATAAATTTTTGTAATTTGCTCCAAACCTATTATAAATATAATAATCAGGCTTTTTTAACTTGTAGATAGTAGAAATCTGAACAATTAAGACTACTTGGATTGAATTTGGTAAACAACCTACGCATGTATTAAAAAAGTAGTGTCAGAATTTCCCAATTATTCACTTATTTTTAATTTGAAAAGTAAAAAGATTACGTATGTAAAAATTTTTGGTAATATGTCTTTTATGGTCCCTAATACATAATTTAATTTACATAAAATAAAATTCATTGGTTCAAAATAAATCGTAATTGTTTAAAAACAAAGCATTAAATATTTAATGGTATTTTTTTAAGTCACCGTCAAAAATGATGCTATGTACGTAGTTTTTTTTTTTTTTTTTTTTCATTTTGGACCATCAAAATGGTGTCCGAAAAATGTGCTATTTCAAAGGTATGGTTTTTTTTTGAATAACAAACGGCTGTAGTATTATGCGATTTTTACCGAAAAGTAGCTGGTAGTTTTACGTTACGTGAAAAAAAAGTTGCTGTAGACTTTCACGCTAAAAATCACAGGTATACATAATTCTATGATCACATTTTGTGAATTTATAAATTGCGATGACAAAGCTGCGGTTGGAACAGATACACTCTTACCCAAAAAAGGTGAATCATTTTGGACAAAAGCAGATTTGATGATTTTATTTGACGTTCAGAGCAAGCAGTGATCGAAAAGTCGATCAAAGAACTTCAAATTTGCGAAAGAAAAAGACTGTACCTCTGTTATTTTTCATTGGATTTTCACTTTTTTTTTTAAATCTTAGGTAGCGCAAGAATAGTACAAATACGAAAATTGCGGTAATGTCTTGTTGCCCCTTTAAATGACTAATACGCTAAATCCAGACAGCATTTTAATAAAAATATGTTCGTGTGAGGGAAACTGTAGAAGTAACCGTTGTGGATGTCGCAGGCATGGTCTTAAATGTTCGAAGCTGTGCTCTGGCTATCATAGAAAAATCTGTGAGAACAACAGAATAGTAATGTCAAAAAGTGAGCTAATAAATACTGATAGCCATAAGAATAATTGTAATGAGCATGTGTGTGAAATTATGGATAAGATGGATAAATGTACGAATGCCAATATGATTGATATATCTGTCAAAACGACCACCATAGTTATTGTATTCATTCGTTTTCAGCCTGTTAGCCCAGAAAACGGACTTAGTTCACAAAAAAGCTAATTGACTATTTACACTTAAAAAATTAAGTTACCAATATGTTGTTCAAAGTTATATACAGGAGCTTACAAAAAATGTTTCCACGTACAAGAATTAGCTGGCAATATTAGCGCTTCCCATGCATACTGTATTTTTTTCTTTAAGTACTACAATAATATTACAAAAACACTAAGCTTGACTAGCTTTAATTATCGTCTAATTTTTTTTTTTTTCTTTAATTTAGATTCCAAACATTTAAAGTTCTTAGCTACAAGTTCAGTATATTTTACATTACACAATAGGTTTCTGGTTTCTATCTCAGCGAATTTGGGACTTAATATACAGCCGTTCTCCCAGCCTTCACAACCACCCAACATATGCTTAATGGTTCCTGAATTATTTTCGCACAATAAACACACCCTCTCTGCCTTTTTCAACCAATAACACCAAACGTTTCAAAATTACCACACCTCACCCTCGCAATACAATTTATATTCATACCTTTTTTACAAAATTTTGAATATTCATTATTTAACTAACAAGTAGTACTCATTTCTTATGTTGGCCTTTCAAGTTCTCAGAGAAAAAAAAATAACAAAGACAAAATTGTACTGAAAATCTTAACTTAAATAAAATTATTTTATGTCCCTGTAGCAAAAATAATGAAAAAACACACATACTGGCCTGATGAAGCAATAGTCAGTGCAGCCATCGACTATGAGGATACACTTTTACATAACAACAAAATATTGAGAGGAAGTGAACAGCCAGAAGATTTAAAAAGTTATAATAGTGAAGATGAAGTTATGACATTTAATGACAAAGATAGAAAAATCCAACTCATAACCTCTAGCAATGAAGATATTCACGAAAATTTTGTTTTTCCCAATGATAAAGCATGGGGTCAAAAGAAAAAAATTTACTTTTCGACTGATTATGTTGATGCTGACTACGCTTCTGCTAGTCGAGTAGATACTATTAATGCCGAGTTAGAAGAAAAAGAAGCTAGAAATATTCAAAAACGTTTAGCTCAACAACTTGATGAAACTGATTTTGGTCTAGACACGCTTAGAGGATATGACTGTGCGTTAAATAAAAGTAATGAACAAATAAAGACCAACATAGATCAATTTAATCATAGACAAAAACACGAATTCTTAAAAAACGAGTGTCCAGAGCTTGCGCCTTTGATTGCGGACAGCAAAGGTAAGATTTCTGTTTCATATTTAGTATACTTTTCCCTTTTTGCTTCTGAACACTTCTATATTGCATGAACTACCGCTACTGTAATCATTATTTATAATATTACTGTTCCATTTTGTTCAGTAATTTGAAATAACGCCACTTACACAAAAAAAAAAAGAAATGTAGGAAAACCATAGGACCTTGTGTCACTATGTCTCAAGTGTAGATAGGGATAGAAGGCAACCGCTGTCATTATATTTTTACCTGCCCTCTTCACTAATTGTCTATGGCCGATGGTGGTAATCAATCAATAAAGAGAATAGAGGGAGATGCAAGAGAAATGTTATCTTCTTCCTTTTTCTACCACCCTTCCATACTTAATGTATTAAAACTCTTTAAAAGAACGAATCTATATAAAAACATGGCCTCTTAGGGTGTGGCCCCATTAAAAGACGTAGAACGTAACGCGTATCTCGAAAATTATATAAACCATAATTCTTGACCAGTTATGACTCTTTTGAGAAAATGAGATTTTCCGGTCAAAATTAAGCAGCTTTTGAACAAATATCACTGACAAACATCTTATGCCCCAAATATCTGTTCTGATAACTGATATCATTGCCATTATGTTATTAATTAATTCATAGCCGAATTTTAAAGCTTCTAAAAACGCTTTGGGATTTCTAAGACAGCGTCTTACAACGTTTCTATTATCCATAGTGCCAAAATTCGGAATCCTTGGTTAACTCTCATTTAAATACGATCATAAATATGATTCTAGGTATTAGTTTTCTCTTTTTCAAATGAATCTGCGAAATACATTATGATATTATATTTAATTATTGACTATTATTACGTTTGGTCTCTCAGTATTTTTTTTTTTACGTAACACAGACTATGTTAGTAATTGTTACTGAAATTTCAATGAGGTTCAAGTTTTATAAAATAATGATGAAGTATTCATATTAATAGTGACAAAAATATAGGTGTATCGATATTGTATGCTGCCGTATCTGATCTCGACATTGAGAAAAAATATTATCAAATTTTGTTTTACTGACAATATTTAACTGATACTTACAAGTATGTATAAATTTGTTACCAATGCCCAAATAATAAATATAATGGATATTACAAGTAGTACAAGCGTATGAAATCATACTAAAAAAAAATGTAATTGTCTGTCCAATTGCAGAAAGAACTTACTGCATGATAATATAATAATAAAATTGTTATATTTAAGTAATATGCGTTTAAAAACTATTTTCATTATGTATTATATTACTAGTAAAAAATTATACTTTCTATCAGTATGTTCATTTATGTATAAATTACTGTCATAGCAATGGAAGGAATTAACAATGAAGTATTTTGTAATTCATACAAGGAACAAATAGTAATCTTATCCTCGTTGAGAAAATTTGATACATCATTGTTTTGCTTTTGTACTTGAAAACGAATTATTAAAAGATAGGTAAAATTACTACACCATTCAGCGTAGTTACACACATAGAGATGTGAAATAATCGAATAGCAGAACTCCACCTAAGCCAATGCGGTGTCATGTCCATAAAGCTGCAGAATGTCCCGCTGTAATAATATGGAAGGGAGGGCGTGTCAGAAAAGAAAAGAGATGCAGGGCAGTATCTGTTTGGTATAAAAATATGAGACTGACTTTTGTATTGTAATAATCGTAGTGTAGAGACAATTAGTTGATGAATTCCTTTACGTATACAAACGTACATCAGTAATAAGTGTAATATACATTCTTTCATAGTAAATATAAATCGATGTTCATTGTTCATTATAAATAATTATTTATTTATGTATTCTTAGTAACTTATGAAAGTCATAGATGCAGTTCACAATTCTTTATTGACCCTGAAACTTAGTTAATTTATCATTTTAACTCTTTTGGTTGCATCGTTTTGCATATCACACTCGTATTTAATTGGAGATCGATGTATTTTTCTATTATTAGTCAAATTAAATGGTTATCATGATCATGTAAAGGCTCTTGTTTTAAAAAATGGTATCTATTATCTAAAATAAATGCTGAGAAAGATTTCGTATGCTAAGAACATATTAACATATTTTTTTAATTCAATCAGAACATTGCCTGATTGTGTTTTCTGTGGTTTTGAAAATAACATCTCCAGATGCAAAGTTTTAACCTCCAAGATTTTTTATCAAAGTCAGTTTTGATTTATTGTCCAAGTTATTTTTAATAGTACCTGAATCAGTTTTCAAATTATCAGTTTTGATGTGTCTAAAATATCACAGCACCTAGCACAATGTATTGTATTTTTTAGAAATATAACTACGCAACCTGCTATGTACTTAATCATTTCTACAGTATACTCTGAAGCGAACGATCTGCATGATTGACTATAATCATGTTCCCAAATAAGAGTTTCATTTGTACTAATAAAGTCTTTTATTTGGGGCGCACATATACTCTATGGTTTATTATCGCAATTTTTTTAATATCGTTTTGATCAATATAACTTCTGGTACATCTTCTATCATGCAGTTTTAGCTCATAAATGTTGTATCATCTGAAGAGAGGTATAATTACCAACTGAGGTACATGAAAACTTTATTTGATGCTAAGTAATTTTTTTTAAACAGATAAGTACTATGTCGAAATCAAATAACTACAAAACCCATTCATGCGTTCGATAATGGAAAAAAACATATCCACCCGATCTAATGAGATTTTGTGATACATAAAAATAGTTGACATAATTATCCTCTAATAAACATTTGGACAGTTTGTAAAAATATGTCAAGCTTATTACAAATCCAAGAAATCCCATCTTAACAGATGTGCTTTTTAGAACGGACTTTGGGACTTTACTTGGAAAATTGTTGTTTTTTTTGAAAGCATGAACAGGTACATCGTTTTGAAGAATATAAACGTATTGCATAAATGTATCAACTTTATATTCTTAATAATGATTTTGTTAATATTTACACGTCTTTGTATTTTACAATAATTATTTAGTTTCGGGGTGTAAGGGGATTAAATACACGTGGAAGAAAGTATATGTTCGTTTATTAAAGTCTCAAAGCGAGAGCACTCGCGTGCGTGGCGTTAGGTTCGGAGGCTGATTGGAGAGAGAGGGAGAGCGGGAGAGCTGATCACGCTCGGGCCCGCCGCCGAAAGGTGATCATCATACTCTGTATCCTCTGCTCATGCGCCATGAGAGGTGAGTCTTGAGCGCGAACTTGCAAAGGTTCTAGATACTGTACGTCACACGTCCGAGGCCACGCGGTCATCGTCCTCGATGGCCATACTGGTTTGTGTGTGCGAGTATATTTGTGTTATGTTGTCTGTGAATTATTTGTGTATACATAATTTTTCTTGTTTTGCGCTGCTCTCTTTACATTATTTATGTATAATTATATTTTTTGTATGGTTAACATTTATTTAATTATTCTTTTTATTTTTATTTTTTATTTATTTATTTATATATATTTTTTTAAATCTGTACACATCTTATGTATAACCCTTTTTATTACATCGTCGATCTCAACGATCATCGTGGATTGGTTGTTAACTAAGCCGGTTGTCTTCTGCCTTCTGATCCCACCCGCTCGCCCAGTAGCACTTGTACCTTTCGTGCGTTAACCATGGCCCTCTGGGTTGACAAGTCTTGTAGTACTGAGTTGGTGTTTCCGCGGTTCCTCTCCCGTTCGCCTGTAATCATTCTCAAACCTTTAAGTATTATTGGACCCCCCCATTTTAAAAATCCAAAAGATCCAGCTG